AACGTTATTATTTTACGCTTAGTCTTAACGAAATTATAAAATGGATTCGGATCCTGTGTAAATTGGGTCCTACAACGAGCTAAATAATTTTTATAACACTGAGCGTTAAGCTTAAGCCCTTGGTAAACCAAGGAGGGTTATCCTGTCTGGGCGGGTACTTTATTGGAAAACATATATCAAAAATTAGGTTTAAAGCATGGTAAAATATGTTTAAAGCTGAAGTTATATCATTGCATGCGTAGATATCGGACCAATCAAAATCAGAGATAAGAATGTTAAGTTTAAGAAAGTCTGACATGCTAAAACAGCGAACATTTTTGACAGCCCTAGTAGGCTCAGTCGCTTGGAGTGGTCCAGCATCGATCGCCAGCTCCAGAGTGGGATGATAAAGATTTTCTGGGCGTGTAAGTGGTGGAACCCTAGGTATAGATACGGAGTCCGAATCTGAGATTAGTCATAGATAGATTAACTGACCCAAAGTGTTTTTAACATGGTTAATTTGTTCCCGGGTCATGTCTAACTCCAAAAAAATCGTGATGTAAGAAGAGTGTTAAAGCTAAACTAGGTTAAAATCACCCAGAACTACTAGCTGATCCATATCTGATAATTACGTAAAAACGGATTGTATGGACGCTACGTGCAACTCATACGTGGATGTTCCGGACTTGGGAAGGATGTAAGAACACGTAATAAATAAACACCTACCAGGAAGCAAAAGTTTAACACAAATGAATTTGATATCACCGAATTGAAGATTAATCTCCTCGAATACGAGTTTAGAGTCAAGAAAAATTAACACTCCACCCCCGGATCCGAGTGATCGATCAAGCCTGTATGTAGCACACCTACTCGGAAAAATTTCAGAGCTAAGAATTTCCGAAACTAGCCATGTTTCGGTAAAAACAATTATTTGGGATGCAAAAGAAAGACTCTCATAAAACAAAGTAGGAAGCTTAGAACGCAACCACCTTGTGTTCTGATAGAAAAGAGGGAGAGAAGATATTAGTTTTTTGCCAGGGGCTGCTCAGTCGTTTTTGTTTGCGTAGAGGTAGATTAATTTTCTTTTTTTATGTCCCGGTTGATGTTCTTGGACGAAAATCTGATCCGGCCAGAACTTGGTTGAGCACATATTGTAAAATTCCACCGGGACGCGTATCTTAAATGATGATACTTTCCTATTATAATGATATTTAAATTTAGTTATGTCATCCACCTTGATGTTGGCTTTCGGTTCGCCGCCTCAGACGTATCATCGGAAAGCCGGGAATCGAATATATGTTTCTCAGGTGGGATTACGCTTAGGGGCTTTGGTGCAGCTGGTTCTAATCCTGCACTGCCACTGCACGCCGGTGGTCCGGGCACGAAATTGCCCTGCAGTGTATCGAATGCCGAATTTTTCGTACTCACCGGAGTGATGGCCACAGGCGTTCTAAACAGCTGCGGCGACGCTTCAGTGTTCTGAAGGTTAGAAGTGGGAGGGAGAAGGGAACTAGTGATCTGCGGCACACACGAGTTTGATTTTTTACGCTTTGGAGACTCATTTAACAATTGGACATTATTAAATTGGGTGTCCAGCACCGAGAGCAAATCGCTGGCTTTGCGAAAAGCGCCGAGCACCTCACGAACCCCATTTTTTGTCTGCCGCATAAAGGATCTCATTTCCCTTAGAGTCCTTCGACAACTTTCACAGCAGTAATGTAAGCCGGAATCGCCTCGGGCCAAAACGTCCGATACGGTGGCAAGAAAATTGGCACATTTGGCATGAACCACATTATCGCAAAGCTAATTATTTTATTACAAGATTTAAAATAGCAGACAATTTCAGACATAATGAGATATAAATATTATTTTGAAACACTATTTAATCAAAAAAAAGCCCACTGTGCGAGAACAGAAAAAAAGAATAAAAACAAGATAAGTGTTAGATGTGCACACTGTAAGAAGGGAGAGGGAGCGGAGGGAATAGATTAAAATCAAGATTAGGTATAGATAAGCACACGAGAGAGGCGCAAGCGGGATAGGAACCGTTTATCGCAAAAGACGAGAAAAAAGAGAATGTAAAAAAAATTTAAGTAATTTGAGAGTTTAAACAAAACATATACGCTACATAGTTTAGTTCACTGCGCAGAAGAGAAATGGCTCAAGGTTATATAATATTAAATCAAATGTAATTAGTATAGGTTTTTTTTTTTACTTTGCTATTAATTTATTGAATCTTCTCCCTTTGGAGACTAACAATAAGTGTATCAAATCTTAAAACTAATTAATCTAACTAACAGTTAGGGGCCTGAATGCTAAAGGGGGCCTGAATGTTATTGCTGGCTTGGCAGGTCGTTACGTTGTAGACGGCATCCAGTGGAGGCTGTTGGCTTTCAGTTTTAGATGTTCTTTTTTGCATTGGATGTGTCTTCTCCAGGTTAGTCGTCTGTTAAGGTGGACGCCGAGATACGTTACATCGTTAAGTTGGGGAATCTGCGTGTTATTCAATGATAGTGGAGGGCAACTTTGCCTGTTGAGGGTAAACGTTATGTGTTTATATTTTTGTTCATTTATTTTAATCCGCCAATCAGATAGCCACCTCTCTACTACGAGGCGGTGATTTGCTAGCTGTGTTGTGGCTCGGCCTTGGAACCCCGAGCGACCTAAAATTGCGGTGTCGTCAGCGAACGTAGATGTTGTTAGCTGCTAATTCGTGGGAATATCAGAGTAGGCCCTATCGCGCTTCCTTGCGGGACTCCTATTTCGATAATGTAGTCACCGGATGTTGTTGTGTTGCACCTTACTGCGGAGGTTCTGTTTTATAGATAGGAGTCGAGAATCTTATGAGTGTATCTAGGCAAGTGCGTTTTAATTTTGTGCATGGGACCATCTAGCCACACTCGATCAAAGGCTTGACATACATCGAGGAATATTGCGCTGCAGTATTCCCGATGCTCAAAGGCTATGCGAATTTCTGATGTTATTCTGTTTACTTGTTCAATTGTTCCATAGTTTTGATGGAAGCCAAATTGATGAGCAGGGATAACATTGTGTGCTTCTAGATATGGTATTGCGAGTTAAAAGACATTTTTCGAACAACTTAGACCAACACGATTATAGACTGATTGGTCTGTAGGATGACGAAATTGTATGGTCTTTTCCGGGCTTCGGTTTCATAATGACAATAGATTTTTTCAATTTATTTGGACGCCATTGGCGTTCCACATCGTTATTCGTAGATTTGCCATCTCTTATTTGGACTGCTGAGCTACAAGTAGCTGTAGCACCATGTTCTGGTTATGAACCAGTGTTTGCATGGTCGTTTTCATGAATGATATGAATTCCATCATACTTTGTTGCATGGTGATCATCATAGATTCCAGAGTGCCTTGCGACTGAAGTTGGGTCTGCTGAGCGTTTCCTAGATTAGGCTGTAGTGGGTTTTCCGTCCCTAATCGAAGGGCATCGGCGTATTTGGAGCCCTTCTGGGTATTTAGTTGACCCAGTGAGGATCTTGCAGCTTGCAGATAATACTTCCGGCGTCGTACTCGAGTAATTGTACACATTTTGGGTATTCTGATGACGCGTTGCTGTCACTTTACGCATTCGGTTCTTTATCTCCTTGTAAAACGGGCAGCCTCTGTAGTTTGCGTGTGGTTACCTTGGCAGCTAACGCATTTGTTCTTTTTGGGGTCTTCTTTGTTGGCAGGGCAGTTGGCCGAATTGTGGAAGTCTCCACAAGCTACACAGACTGTTCGAAGTGAACAGTAAGCCCCATACTCCTGACAATTAGTGCATTGCACGGGGCCGTTTCTTTTATGTGGCTCTTCCAATGTAGACGCAGTTGTTGTTGTATTTGCAGAAACGGTAGTTACCAATGACACCGTAGAAGAGATTGCCCAAGCTGACGTCAGTGCATCGATCGTGGAGAGGGGGAAGGGCATTGTGAGCTCCAAGACTGAGTAACGACAACGCTGCTTGGGGTTAGGAGTCGGGGCGACAGAGAGCGGACGTCTTCGGTCGCAGTCAAAGACATTGCACTTCTTTTTGGCTCCGGAGAGACATACGAAAAGTACGCGTTGTTTCGAGCAACAGAGAATCGGCGAGGCGAGCGCTGGTTGCTGTTGTTGTCTTTCGCGGCTTTGAGTCGTTTGTTTACCGGGTGCACTAATTATTTGCTTGGTTGCCGGCATTTGTTCAGTTTTCCTTATGTTTTTTTGACAGCGTCCTTTCGCCTTTATTTTAATATTTTTTTACCCTTTGTTATAACGCTTACAAACACACTGTAGGAGCGCTGAGAAAACACGTCTGCACGGGGCAAAGTCTGCCGATTGTTTTGATTAGGTTTAAGTTTATATTCACAAATAATCAACAAAGATAAGCGAGAGTAGAAAAACACGTCCGTTCGCTTCGGAAGAGAATGTGAATATGTGTGAATCACATCACCACGTCGAGTCAGCAAACATTTCGACATCTCCCCTAATGTCCGGAGTAAACCCAATATAATCATTTCCTAAAGTCAATTAAAAAGATCTTAAAGTTGTTAGTTATTCAATTCTGAAATTCTGAAGGAATTAGTTCTGTGATTTGGATTTGTCACACGTTAGTGTTTATATTTGGCCTTACCCCCCTAGGCACTTAAAATTGATGTCAATACTGACAAGCACTAGCTAAACTAGTTGTTGGGCAACTTCTCATGACCTGTAATGATTATACAAAGTTATCGAATTTTGAGAGATAGCTACAATCATATTAATAAATATGAAAGTGCTCAACTAACTTGGTTGTGTATGAAGATTATCTCGAAGAACATTTTTTTATATATAGATGTGATAGATTCGCTTCCTAATACATCATATTTATGATAAATAATAAGATCGTGACCGATATTATCTACATTATAAATCAAATACTTGAATTATGAGCTTTTAATATTAAATTTTAAAATTTATATAGCTATACTTACAAATCCTGTTTCCCTTAATACCTTATAAATTTATTGTTTTATTATTCAATTTCAGAGAATCTTAAAAATCACAAAAATACTTTTGGACCCAACTGAGGACCCTGAAGTTGGAACGTTTCTGGAAAGAGGTTACTCTGAAGAATCTGAGGCAGAATCAAATATTCTTTTAGAGGAAAATTTACTAAATAGCCTAGACAATTGGCTTGAAAGGTTGTTTGATGGGAGGACACAAAAATACTACATAAATTATTGGCCAGAATTTACTACTAAGTGATAAGCTCACAAACTACTTATGTCAAAAGTAACAGATATGATTAAAATAAATTTAAATTTCCATAAAAAAATACGGGATCACAAGATTTTTAGATGCCTTTATTCGTAAAGTAAAGAATATGAAACATGTATGAGACTCTTTCTTTCGCCAGTCAAGATATAAATTGTAACCATTTAACCATTTAACCAGTTCGATCGAACGGTCTGCTTTAGGCAAGCGTCGGCAGACGTTGTGGTTGTCGATGGTTCGATGCGCACCGAACAGCTCGCTGAAATGGCCGATCGTTGGCGAATGGCAGAGAGGGAGTTGCAGACGACTCTAGTCGTGTTGGCAGCTGTTTTCGACAGGTTCAAGCTAATACAGAAGAGGAATGAGTGGCTCGATGGGTTTAGGTACAGTGTAACGAAGGTGCAACGGACTAGAAATTCGAGGACAAGATTTATAATTCAAACAAGGTATTTTATTCAGTTGCATGTATTAGGCGGCGCAGTATATTGCACAGAGCGGCTGTTTAGCAGGGGAGGAGGTAAAGGTACTGTAAACAATTAAAAGATTAATATTAATTATGACTTCACTTGTATTAGGTGGACCTGTGAAGCACACGGCGGCCGCTTAGCAAGAAGAGGTATTAATTCTATGGAATAATAAAAGAATAAAAATGATATGAATCCATTAACATATATTAGACGGCGTACTGAGATGCACAGGCGTTTGTTTAGCATGGGAATGGAAGGAAATATATTAATAAAAATAAGAAAAAGAAAACATAGAAAATTTGGTAAGTAAAGAACGAAAAAAAACAGATGAGACTATAGACATGTATTAGGCGATACACTGTAACAAACTGGGTGGTCGTTTAGCATGGGGCTGACCAAAACAAGAAATTAGAGAAGAATACCCCGATGGCAATGACTGTCCGCACAGCAGATCAACTAGCTTCAGCACGATGGGTAATAAGGACTGGAAGATGAGAAATAAATACTATTTATTTAAATTTCAATTTGAGAGGAAAAGGACTTATTTAAAACTAATTCCAAAACTCTATTCCACCACACGGTAACTCACGCATCTACACACTAAAAGAAACAAAAGACACGAATAACACAATAAGATACTCATTAGCTAAGCTAAATATACACTGAATTAAGCTCACATTAGATTCTACTAAACACAAATCGCTCATACAGTACAGCTCAATGGAATTAAATCTAGATTTATTATGACAAAGGAGGTTCGACATGCAGCAATAACGACGACAAATGTTTTAGAAGCTATTAAGGTAATAGACGTAGAAGAAATTATCTCGAAGTATGAGGGAGACGCTGGTAAATTCGATGGATTTATAGGAGCATTGGAGCAGGTGCTAAGCTTAATGAAATGCGAAGGATCGAATGTAGACGTAATCGCACTCAGAGCGGTGAGGAACAAAGTTGTAGAAGCGGCAGATAAAGTCCACGATCAAGATGAATCGGAGCTGAAATGGGATCAAATTATGAAATTTTAAAGACAAAAGATCTGAGCAGGATTTGATTATGGAATTGACCCATATTAGGGAGAAGAAGTTAGAATTGGAGGCCTTATAAGCCAACATCATGACCCTGAAGAATGCCCTAGTGAGTCTTGTCAAGTCTAGCGAGCAAGGTATGTTGTTGGGGATCGAGAATACTAGATGGTATGAGGAAATGGCCTTGAACGCCTTTGTTTTAGCCTTAAGAGGACGGATAGGGGTAACTATCAGCAACATAGAGCTGAACAATATAGCTAGGGCTTATAAAATAGCCCGGAGAGAAAAGAATTTGGGTACCTTGGTGGAAACAGACCTAGAGATGAAGGGTCAAAGACTAACTGAGTCCCAGGGCAAAGAGGTTCAGGAATTTCCAAAACAGGAGCCAGGAAAACAAGATAATCTTATAACGGAGTCGCAGACTGGCGTTTGATCTCAGTTTGGGTGGACAGAAAGTACCCAACAGTATCCTATTCCATTCCCGATACCCAAAGGCTGGATGGCCGGTATTTGGATTCCCGTATCCAATGATGGGTTAAATTTTTCAGAGCTTACGGTTTTATTCAGGGGAATTCAGGACCATATCGAAACTATTAGTACAAGAACAAAAATTGGAACAGCAAGTTC